TACTACTACTACTACTACTACTACTACTACTACTACTACTACTACTACTACTAACTACTACTACTACTACTACTACTACTACTACTGCTGCTACTACTACTGTTACTATTACTATTACTACTACTATTACTACAACTACTACTACTACTACCAATACCACTACTATTACTACTATTACTACAACTACTACTACTATTACTACTACTACTACTGCTACTACTACTAAATTACAACTACTATTACTACAATTACTGTTACTAATAGTATTATTATTACTACTTTTACTAACGCTACGATTACCGAAACGTTTTATTAATGATTACAAAGAAACCATTGCTACTACTGTTGTTACTACCACTGTAATTGTACGATTATTAAAGTGAACGAGGAGAGAAAAAATAACGGTGAGGCATCGATCAATCGATACACACGTAAAACTGTACACCTCTACATGCTACACGCAGAAGATAGAATATACACGTAACGCGAGCACACGAGCTAGATACACACACACGCGCGCGAGTCGGCGAACCATTCGTATTCGCTTCAACAAAGGAACTCTTTGTACGTATACATTTACGATCCGCTGTATATGTATAATATCGTATTGGTATACGTATATACTGTCGTAAATACATACACCCACACACATACACACATACACATAATACAAGCGTACACGTTACAAACACCCAAACTCACAAACACTCGCGAGAACACCGAGGTTACGTATAAAAGACAGACACACACACACACAAACACAAAATAACGTCACGAGAAACACATCGATCGCTGAATAAGCGCGCGCGCCTGCGTAGCCGTATCGGAGTTCTATAATTATATAGGAGAAGAATCGTTGAAGAATTTCGATGGGTGAAGAAGATGAAACAAAAATGAAAAAAAAACACTTGTAACATACTGCCAATCGTGCGATGGTGTTTCAAGCGGAAACACAACGCGACATACATAAATGTATATAAAAGAAGACGGTCCGTGGGGGTGTAGAGAGAAAACTGGAAAAGCGAAGAAAAATAGCGGAAGCGACATATAGAGCGATGCGAAGAAGAAAGCCGTACGTCTTTTCTTTTTGCCCGCGAGCGCGTATACATACACACACATAACGGGAGCGCGTCTACGCGTAGGTGGACGCGCGTAATCGGTAATAAACGTGCGTGTGCGAATGAGAATGCCGGTGGAGAGAAAGTGCGAGTGCGAGCGAGAGGGAGAGAGAGAGCGAGCAAGCGAGTGAGAGAGAGAGAGAGAGAGAGAACGAGCGAGAGAGAACGGAGTGCGTGCGTGTGCGAGAGAGAGAAAGAGAGGGAGAGAGAGAGCGGTGTGAATGCGTGAGTGTCTCCCGGCGTTTAAATTTAATCATAGATCGCGTAGAAACGTTCGATCGTTTCACGCATATCCCGAATCACGTCCCATACAACGTCCGCGCGCGCGTGCATCTCGACCGACCGCGAATCCGACGAACGGCGAGCGTTCGATCACCGTCGTTTGATCGAACGTAGGCCAGAAACGTCGCGATCCGGCCGAGCGGACAGGGCGCGCGCGTTCGTTGCCTAGAATAAATAATCGCGGATGGCTCGCTACGCGATTCGAGCCATATATCTCGAGTAGCTCGTGAACGCGCGGCTCTCGCGAGCAATCTCCGCTTCCGTCGCGTCGAAACGACACGGCAGGGGCGAAGCGAACGAGGAGGACGACCGGGGCATCTCTCGAGTCTCCCAGTCGTGGCGTGGTTGTTCTCCCTTAAGTGCTTTATAAACTCTCGTATTTGGTACCCGTCACGTTCGTACACGTCTCTGTAACGCGGACACATAAGTATAATAAACGATCGAGAAACCACACGCAGAGATGTATCTGTTGATTGCGGGCCGAGGACGCTCGGTCTTTCCTTTCGTTCGCGCGAGCGCGAGCGCGCACTCGCCGTCCGGCGAACCGAAAATCGCGCGCGGGCGGGCGTGCTCTACACATTTTCTCCCTTCGTCCATCGCGTTCGCCGCGATTCGAGCCGCGGATTCTTCCTCGATCCTTCCGCGCCGAATCGAAGGTCCGGCTCGCATCGCGCGCGCGCGCGCTTTCGAGCGCCTTCGAATCGTTCTCGTCGGATGCCGATCCGAGGAAAAGGAAAACCGCGCACGTTTCGCGAAGTCGATCGCCGAACGGGAGATCTCCGCGACCGGATCTCGCCGGGACGAAACCGGGGTGACCTCCGTTCGCGGTGACCTCGACCGGCGAGCCCGCTCGATCGGTCTTCGGTTCTCCGAAGGAGGTCGCGAGCGCGCGCGCGGTTCGAGGATCGTCCGTGGCGAACGCTGGAACGCTCTTCTGGCAGGCGCGAATGGGGATGCGGGATATTGTTAAAACAAAAAACTGTTTTTCTGTGATAAATCCGAGGAATCTAGCCAGATATCGGCGTCGCCGTCGCGTCGTCGGACGCATTCTCCGGCCTCGGGGCGCGTTCGCGAACGATTCCGGCAGCGCGGATCCAGGC